GTTTGCCCACAAAAAGCACATTCATGTAAGGGGAGCTGACTGCGTATTCCCTCCCTCAGGGTGTCAGATTCAACAATCTTCAAAGCTACCTCAGAACAACTTCTGGCTCCAACCCAATTCCCTTCCCTGAGCCCCCAGCAAACCCACTCCCTCCCAAGTGCTCCACCTCTATATAAGTAAAGTTGACTAGAGTCCTTTTAATAAACTGCTAATTATGTCAAATTACCATTCATCCAAATAAACAATATGCAGTTTATTAATCATGCTGTCCAAGTAACTGCTGCAGTTGTATTTTAATTACTGCTCATATGGCATGGTCCCAAGCTCCAGTTATTTGCAAGCATTTGAATAGCAGACATCTTCCTTTATTTAAACGGTAGCCAGGCAGAGTAACAAGAGCAGTGCTGAGGGTCAGAATCTTGACTCTGACCCCCTTAGAAAATGCACAACCACAGACAAGTCACTTAATTTTGCCAAGCCTCAGATTTGTTGTATATCAAGTGGGCCCAGCTTGTCTCCTCGCAGGGATCACATTCAGTGTGTAAGAGAAAATATTTTCAAGTGCGATGTGAACCTACGGTTTTGTTTGAACCACAAACCAGTGTTTTCCTCTCTATTCCACGGTCAGTGTGGACAGTGGCACTCCCTTCACTGTCAAAATCTCAACTGTAGCTGCCTCTACTGCTCAGTTAAAGGCTTGGTGGGTAAAAGCTCTGTGGTCTATTTCAGGCCAGTTCTGGAAAAAAAAAAAAAAAGAAAGGGATGGTGTGGGGTGGGGGCAAAAAAAAAAAAAACAGGTTATGAAATAAAGAGAAAAGTTGGTGGTTCAAACCCACCCAGTGGCTCTGCAGAAGAAGGCCTGGTGATCTGCTTCCCTAAAGATCACAGCCAAGAAAACCCTATGGAGCAGTTCTACTCTGTAACACATTTGGTCGCCAAGAGTCCAGGGCTGACTCAAAAGCAGCTAACAACAATAACAGGCTTGAGATGCTGGTCACTGACCTTCCATTGCGATCAGTGCAGTCCTGGCCTTCCTGGAATTCTACAGCTGGTAGACACAGCAGCTATTTTCCCCCAAAACTACTCCACATTTAGTCTCAAAATAATGTTCTTTTTTCAAATCACTGCTGAAGAAAGAAGTCATCCTTCTTCCTAAAAACGCCGCTTTCACCCTGTTACTGTTCTTCAGAAGAGCCTTCGGTGATTGTCCATGAACTAGAAATAGACACTGGAGTAGGATTTTTACTCCGCCCCGTCTGCCCTGCCTCCCACTCGCCACCCTTACCCTACTTTTCTTATCCCCTCTATCTCCCATAAAGCCAATTATGTTGCTTTCCTCTAGGTTCCCCAAGCAACTACTCCTTCTGAGAAGGGTCATTGCTCGCTTCTTTCTTCATCTTTGAAATAATTAATTCCCTGCTCCCTTCACCCTTTTAATGTCTAATTTTAATCCTAGCTGAGCTTTAGGGTCTAGGTTAAATCTCTTCCTTCCATGAAGTCTTCCTCCCCACTCATCTCCCTCTGCACTTCTGCAAAGCTGCTCTCCTGCACAGCTGTCACAGGAGCTTGCCCATCACAGCCCTGGAAACAGCTGGGGTCATTTCTGGGGGCCAGAGTCTGTCCTGAGCAGCACTTTGCTCTCTCTCCATGGAAGGCGAGAAAAAGGGGTACAGGTTCCCCTCACAGGCCTCAGAGAACTGTGTTATGCTGGCTGAGGCCAGAAGGTGAGGCAGGACTGAACCATGCAGCTCTGGCCATCAAGATCTCCCATCTGCTCTGTAAGGAGGAACTTTGATTGTTCTGTTCATGGGAGGTAAAAACCAGTTGCTATCAAGTTGACCCTGACTCATGGCAACCCCATGTGTATCAGGGTTTTCAATGACTGATATTTTAGAAGTAGATCATCAGGGCTTTCTTCTGAGTGCCTCTAGGTGGACTCAAACCTCCAACCTTTTGGTTAGCAGCTGAGTGGGTTAACCATTGGCCCCACCGAGGGTCTCTTTGTGTGAGGTAACTCCATCAAAATGCAGCTGGCTCTACCTGAGAACTCTGCTCGGGTGACCCTAGCTTGAACCCCTTTCTCTTGGCCCTTGTAATAAGGGAGTGGAGGGAAAGAGACTCATACACTAACACAGCAGCCCTACGTGCCAGGCACCATGCCAAGCACTGTAAGTGAATTACCTCATTGAGTTCTTGCAGTGACCTGATGTGGTTAGTACTATTATTAAACCTAGTCATAGCTGAAGAAAACGAAGCTCAGAGAGATTAAGTAACTTGTCCAATGTCCAAGTAAGTAGTAAAGTTTGATTTGAACCCAGTTGTGTCTGAGTCAAAAGCCTGTGTTTTTATTTTTGTTTTTTTAATCCGTGGTTCTCAAAGTATGGACCCCGAACCAGTAGATCAGTATCTACTGAAAATTTGCTAGAAATATTAGTTCTTGGGCCCTGTCTTAGTCATCTAGTGCTGCTCCAACAGAAATACCACAAGTGGATGGCTTTACAAAGAGAAATTTATTCTCTCACGGTCCAGTACGCTACAAGTCCAAATTCAGGGCATCAGCTCCAGGGGAAGGCTTTCTCTGTCGGCTCTGGAGGGAAGTCCATGTCATCAGTCTTCCTTTTGTCTGGGAGCTTCTCTGTGGAGGAACCTCAAGTCCAAAGGATGCGCTCTGCTCCCGGCACTGCTCTCTTGGTGGTATGAGGTTCCCGTGTATCTCTGCTCGCTTGTCTCTTTTATATCTCAAAAGAGATTGCATTAAGACACTAATCTGGTCAACCTCATCAGTATAACCTCATCACAGTGATAGAATTTACAACACACAAGGAGATCACATATGATCTCATCATAGTGGTAGAGTTTACAACACATAAGGAAATCACATCAGATAACACAATCATACAGTACTGGGAATCATGACCTAGCCAAGTTGCTACACACATTTTTGGGGGGACACAATTCAATCCATGACAGGCCCCACTCAAGTCCTACTGAATCAGAAACTCTGGTGATAGAGCTCAGCGATCTACAAGCCCACCTGGTGAATCTGATGCACGCTGAAGTTTGAGTAGTACTGCGCTACACCACACCTTCCCACTAGAGTATCCCCTAATAACTGAGCCTGGAAACAACATTCCTGGAACATTCCAGGAAGATACTGGTTACGTGTGAACCCCTTACTGTGCCAGAGTCCTACCTGACATTTCTGTACCTTCTAGTTTCTCATCAAGGTAACCCTGGGGCTTTAAGTATGTCTGTAGGTTTGGAGGATATAGAGAGGGCATTTTACAAAAGAAAAAGGAAAAACTCCGAATTCCTTCGAGTCTTTCTTGATAAAGTTTTGTCACCGTCTGATCGTTTTTGCCTTATTTCCTCTGTGCTTATGTTGGCCGCCTATAGTCAATTTCCACTGGGTAATATATTCTTGGTTATTCTTTCAATCATTTATTCCACAAACATTTGTTGGGTACCAAGCAGGTAACAGGCATGGCACAAGGTGCTGGTGTTTGAACAGTGAGTTAGAGACAAACCCAGTCGGCCTCCTCAGAGTCTCCAGCAAATAGGCCATCACCAAGAAGTGTGAGAAGTGCTGCTTGGGTATGAGACGGGACACTTTGGGAATACAGAGCTGAGTCCCCTCTCCCAGACTTGCAGAGTCAGGGAAGGCTTATTGAGGGAGTTGAGGTTTAAGCTGAGGATCTAAAGAATGAATACTAATTAGCCCAATGAAGGAGTCGTATCAGTTAGGGTTCTCCAGAGAAACAGAAAAACAGAATCAATAAACCAGATGCAGTCAAGTTGATTCTACCTCATGGAGACCCCATGTATGTCAGAGTAGAACTGTGCTCTGTACAGTTTTCAATGGCTGAGCTTTCAGAAGAAGGTTACCAGGCCTTTTTCTTCCAAAGCACCTCTAGGTGTACTTGAACCTCCAACATTTTGGTTAACAGCCAAGTGTGTTAACTGTTTACATGACCCCAGTGCAATAGAGAGAGAAAGAGAGTTTAAGGAATTGGCTCACGAGATTGTGGAGGCTGACAAGTCTGAAGTTTGTGGGGCAGGCCCACAGGCTGGAAACTCAGACAAGAGTTGATGTTGTAGTCTTGAGTCTGAAATCCACAGGACAGGCTGGCGAGCTGGCAGTGCCAGCTGTTACAATCTTGAGACACAATGCTTTCTTCTTTTGAAAACCTTGGTGTTTGCTCTTAAGGGCTTCAACTATTGGACGAGGGTAATATCCTTTACTTAGAGTCAACTTGTTGTAAATGTTAATCAATCAACAAAATACCTTCACAACAACATCTAGACTGGAGTTTGACCAAACAACTAGGCAGCATAACCTAGCCAAGCTGACACATAAAATTAATCATCATAGGAGTGGAGCTGGTAGCCGGTGATATGGAAGAATGTTCCAGGCTGAGAAATACACACACGTGAAGACCCAGAGAAGAGACAGAGCTTAGAACAGGAAGGACTGAAATGAGTTCAGATGGCTGAAACCCTGAGTGTGCGGTGGGGCGTGAAGGAAGATGAGTCAGGAGAGAAAGGCAGAAGGCAGAGCTGATGAGCCTCATAGGCCTGGTTATGAAGTTTGAATTGGATCCTTAGGGAAATGGGAAAACATTTTAAGCAAAGAAGTGACATGAAAAAGAAATGTATTAGAAAGACTGCTCCCTACAAATATGGCCTTATTTTAATATATAATTGTTTTCGTAGTTGTTGGATGTATTATCACTGTCAGTGGACTCTTCGCTCTTGGGAGTGGTCCTTAGCCATTTTTCTCCTACATGTCCCCCAGGTGACTAGTGCAGTCCCCTCCCCGCCCCTGCCAAGCCACATAAGAACTCAGGTCTGCCTATGAGCTACCCAGCCAAGGTCAGGCAGGGGGGCAGGTATTTATGTTTTGCTCATTTGCATTGCTTTTATTATCCCATGAGCAGAAGTAGGTCACTCCTCAGAGACCTGATCTGATTTCAGCATTGTCTCCTGGCTCTTGGTTTCAGGGTGCCTGTCCTTGCTGGTGACGGTCCAGCAGACAGAGCGGTACGTCACCCTGTTTGCCTCAGTCATCCTCAAATGTGACTACACCACCTCTGCCCAGCTCCAGGAAGTGGTGGTGACATGGCGCTTCAAGTCCTTCTGCAAGGACCCCATCTTTGACTACTACTCTGCGTGTGAGTGTCCCCCATGCCCTCGCTCTCACTGGGTCACAGGCACCTCAGTGAAGTATTATACTTACTACTTTAGGGACTGGGATTACGTAGGATCACAAATCCTTATAGTAAGAAGAAGCCATAGAAATCACCTAATGCAGTTCCCTCATTTTATAGATAAACAAGCTAAGCCCTGGGCTGATGAGATGACGTGTTTAAGGTCACATACTATTTTATATATTTTTAAATGTATGTCCCACCTTGTTCTAAAATGTTTTAAGTCAGCTCAGATGTTAAGTAGAAGGGAGAGAAAGTCCTGCCTCCTGGTCCGTTCCTGGTTCCACATCAGCACGCTAAGATGATGAGGCCGACCCATCACCATCATCCCCTTAGGATGCCAACAAGAACAGACTTCTATGCTCCTCAGGATACACGGGACCTTAGGGGTCATTGGTGAAGACTCCCACTCAGCACCAGCTTCCCTCTACACAGCCTTCCTGGTGGGTGGTCATCCCCTTCTGACTAGACCCTTTCAGGGATGGAGTGCTCACTGCCCCATAGGCAGCCCACTTATTGTTGGACAACTCCTCTTTAGTTTAGCGAAGTCCTGCCTCTCAGTAATGATGGCCTCACTCATCTCAGTTCTGCATCTGGAGCCGAAGCTCTTCCCTGGCTGCCCCCTCTGCCCTCTCTCAAGGGAGAAAGGAATCCAGATCCCTGCAGTCAACCTGAAGACAACCTTAGGAAATTTCAAGAAATGAAATAGATACCCTGTTCATAGAAAGGAAGTGAGCTTCATGAGATGATGAAAAAGAAGGGGGGAGGCATGTGCTTTACCATTCGTAGATCTGGGGCTAAGGTCTCACAGTATGATTTGAGTAGGACCACAAAAACTGACTATCTTAGCTACCCACTGAACCTGACATGGCCCCCACAAGACCCCTCTTTAATTGAGGCATTGCTTCTTGGGGATTACTCTTCAAATGCCTGGGTTAATCGGCCACTGGCAGATTTGACAGCTTTCAAACCTTATATTGTAAGAGAAGGTGGATGAACTCCATGGGAGCTGAGGCTGGGGTGACTTAAAAAATGAAGCAAGGGAAGTTGGGATGGGAAACAGCGGGGGTCAGCCAGGATTTGGAAATGATGGCCCATGGGAGGGGTTTGAAGTCTTGCTTCTCAAAGGGTGGTCCCTGGACCTATAGCATTGGCATCACCTGGGAGCTTATTAAAAATGCAGCCTCCCGCTGTGGGGACCATGGTCTCAGGGAACATGTAGCTCAATTGGCATGACACAGCTTATAAAAACAATGCTATATATTCTACCTTGGTGAGTAGTGTCTGGGGTCTTAAAGCTTGTGAGCGGCCATCTAAGATACTCCACTGGTCTCATCCCTTTGGGAGCAAGGGAGAATGATGAGAACAGGATACAACGAAAAGATTAGTCCGAAGGACTAATTGTCCACAGCTACCAAG